GCCAAGGTGGGGGATTAGAACCCCCTTGCATGGGTCTGGGTGCCAGGGCATGGGATTGGAACCCCCTTGGGTGTGTCTGTGTTGGGTTGGGACCCCTCAGGCTGCAGGTGTCCCCTCAGAGGCTCCTCTGCCCTGTGGGTATTGCTGACCCACACAGAGCTCCTTGCCCTTCTTCTCACCTTGGCCGAGGGTTGCTCTCTCTCTGCCGCTGGTTTCCAGGAGGCCGATGGCAAAGCCAGGGCTGGGGAACACCAGGGATTTGTGGCTTTTGTTGTGTTTGCACAGGGAAGAGCAAACACGAGTGTCTGTTCACAAGTGTGGAAAGAGCACTTAGTGCCTCAGCCAATGTTTGTTTTCGGGTCCCTGATGCTGGGGCCGCGTGCCCAGCTGGCACGTTGCTCAGATCTGCTGCAGGAGGACAAGCCACTGGCATGCCACAAGCCATTCTTTGTGTGCTTGGCATGAAATGATCCAGAGCTGAGGGATATGGGATGTCTCACTGTCCATCCACTCATTAACTCTGGCTTTTCTTAGGAACATGCACGTCTTTTATCCTCCCCTCCAATAACAGGGTCACAGCCATCCCTCTGTTGCTTTTCCTCCCTCTTTCCCTGTTTCTTGTGGAGATGGCTGTAGGATTTATGCCGAGGGCATTTCAATGTATCAGTAGCCAAGTGCAACCCAGAATTTTACCAGCCCAATCTGGCAAATGTAGATGTTACAGGAATAAAGTGGAGGGATGGAAAGAGGACCTGAGTTGGCTTCCTGGAGGTTTTCCTGTCTCTGGACTGTACTGTAAAGGTAATTTTCTCTATTTCTGGACAACTGTGCCATGCCATCTGCCCCAAACACCTGCACTGCTCTGGAGTTTGTGTCTTTTGGCAGCAGCTCTTCCATGCTGTGCCTAAGGATGTCCCCTTGGCAGCTGCACCTCTACAAAGTGTCCAAATCACAATTAATCCCTTCTCCAGCAGTAAATCTCCTGAGCACTTGGTCATGCAGTCCTTGGTCCATGTCCCATTAGCTCTGAGGTGACAGGGTGAGTTTTATCCCCCATTATCCCTGCAGGGAATGTCTCTAGGGAAGCCACAAGCTGCTGCCAGCACATTTGGATTTTGCTGCTGGGGCTGTGAGCTCCAGGAGCCCTGGAGCCATCTGGGGAAGGGCAAGGGCTGCAGGAATTGCAGGAACTGCACCTGTACAAAGTGTCCAAATCACAATTAATCCCTTCTCCAACAGTGAAGCTCCTGAGCACTTGGTCATGCAATTCTTGTGTCCCATTAGCTCTGAGGTGACAGGGTGAGTTTTGTCCCCCATTATCCCTGCAGAGAATATCTGGAGGGAAGCCACAAGCTGCTGCCAGCACATTTGGATTTTGCTGCTGGGGCTGTGAGCTCCAGGAGCCCTGGAGCCATCTGGGCAAGGGCAAGGGCTGCAGGAATTGCAGGAGCTGCTCACAGGCACCCTGCACACCTGCAGCTCAGAGCTGATGGCTCCTGGCCCTTCCTGACTGCACAGGGACTGCCTGGAGAGCAGAGAGCCTCACCAGAACTTGGGTTTTATTATCTCTGTCCACACACAGATTCCTGTTCTGCCTTGTGAGAGGGACACGTGCGATCACCGGGGTGTTTTATGGGAATGAACAGCAGAGAGGGGCTGTCCTGCAGCCAAAATAACTTCCTTAGGATCCTGCTGTCCGCTGTTCTGTCCCCAACAGCAGCGTGAGGGCCTTCCCGATGTCAGCTGGTGAGAAACGTGCCACCATCCGCCAGCCAGGCCCTGTGACTGCTCCTTTCTTGTTGCTTCTCCACGAGATCAGCCGTGTGTGCGTGGTGTTTAAAAAGCGCAGGTTTTGTCATGGTAACGAGGCAGTGCAGAGGAGGGGAGCTGGGCACAGATAAGCGCCCTCCCTCCTGCTCTCCCCTCAGCTGAGTTTATCTGCAGTTCCCTGGCAGGGTGGTGAGTGCTGGCGCTGGGGTGCTGCGCTGAGAGACAAGAAAAAAGTGTGCAAGGAGGATGTTCAGGCAGGGCCTTTAAACGTGTGTTGTGTAATCTTCTGAGAGAGGGAGCAGGGGGAGAGGAACACAGGGGGTTAATGGGCAAAGGCAGCACAAGGAGAGCCCCGGACTCTTCTGCGTGACATGATGGGAGGATAGGAAACATAAATAATTGTTGTGCAGTGATCTTTTCTCTCTGAGGATCCTGCAGCACTTCCCAAAGGTGTAGTTCCTGCCCTACTGAGAGACAAATATCCAGAAGCCATTTTATTTTCAGAAGAGTTCTGGCATCAGGGCTCTCCTTCCTTTGTGGGGTGGCCTCAAGCAGCACCTTAATCCTTGTTCCTACACAGCAATCCCAAATCTGGCTGGTTCCTCAGCCTGGCAGCACGTGTTTGTGCCAGGCTCTGCTCTGTCCCATCTCACCCCCATCCTGGGCTGCTGCCTTCCCCATTTACCTGCTGCATTCCCTTCTCGTGTGACTCCGAGAGCCACCAGGTCGCAGCAGCGTTTCAGGGAAGGTGCAGCCCCCCATGAGCAGGGCAGGCTGTCAGCTCCTGTCCTGCTGGGAGCAGCTCCAGCCTGGCCAGACTCTAGATGGGGCTGAAGAGTTGGAGATGATGCCCTGAGCGCTGTGCCCGGCCTGGCTGCGCTTGCCTTGGGCACCTGAAAGGAAAACCCTTGGCTGTGCTCCCCACCTGGGCAGGAGAGAGGAGAGACCCTGTCTGGGTGTGGGGGTCCCAGAGGGTCAGTGAGGAGCTGCCCTCCCTCCCTGTATGGCACAGCTGAGGGCATCGCGTGCCACGGGAGGGAGGTTTGGTGTAGTTTAGTTTGGTTGGGTTTAGTTTGGTTTGCAGGGATCTGCATCCCGTGGGCGAGGGCTGAGTCACAGCCCAGGGGTGTGTGCCGGGAGGAGGAGGAGGAGGAGGAAGAGCAGGATGCCAAGCGAAGAGAGGGGCCCAGCCAAGGCTCCAGCCCCTCTCAAGAGCCTCCCCACCTCTCATGTCACTGCAGGGACACCAGGCTCTTTCCCAGAGCTGGTGTCACCAGTGAACTCGTGCTGTGACGTGCCTTCCTTCCTCCTTTCCCTCTCCCTCGGAGCTTTTGCTATGATTCATGTTTGCCCGTGGCAGCAAATGGCCGTGCACATAAAACAAACCACAGTCCCCTTCCCCTGGGGAGGGAGGCAAACAATTCCAGTCCAGCCTTGGAAACAGCTAAAAGCAGTGCCAGGCTTCAGCCCAGCTCATTTTTTCAGAGGCTGTGATCAGCCGAGTTCAGCGCAGCAGCTCCTGCCCGGCATGGCTGGGAGCAACTCAAAAATCCCCAAAACTCAGGCAGCCAAATGCTGAGTAACATTTTTAGTGCCTGTTCTGTCTCATCCCTGGCCTGTGCTGGGGGTGCAGGGCTCTGGTGCTTCACAAACATGACATTCATCCCCAAAGTGGAAGTTTCTAAGGCATAGATTCCTTTTTCTTCCCTTTTACAACATCTCAGGGTGCTGCTGATGGTGATGTCCCCCCTGGGAATCCCCAAAACTCAGGCAGCCAAATGCTGAGTAACATTTTTAATGCCTGTTCTGTCTCATCCCCTGCCCATGCCAGGGGTGCAGGGCTCTGCTGCTCCACAAACACAACAGCCATCCCGAAAGTGGAAGTTTCTAAGGCTGCATTAACCCTTTTGGGGGCACAGATTCCTTTCTCCTCCCTTTTACAACATCTCAGAGTGCTGCTGATGGTGATGTCCACCCTGGGAATCACCAATTCCCACTTTCCACTGTTTTACCCCATCTGAGCACCAGCATGGAGCTGCTCCTGCCCATGCAGGTGGAATTTCTCACTGGGTTTTGGACACCAATCCCAGCAGGATCTGGTGGAAAACTGGCGCTCGCCTGGTTAAAAAGCACAGGGATTGCTCACCCTGTCATTGCACAAGCTGAACCCCAGCCAGTTCTTGATTTCTTAGAACTGAGTGATGTCCCAGGCATCCCCGCGTGTGTCAGGAGCCCAGATCCAGCTGGGGCCGGTTCCCAGCCCTGGGAATGGCTCCTGGGGAGGGAAGGATGTGGGTCAGGGTAGGGTGTGGCCCTCGGCTCTGGCCTGGGGGCACTGGAGGAGGGAGGAATCCCCCCTGACCACAGCCCACCGGGAATGGGATTCTGGTCAAAGATGGGATGGGATGTCAGGACTGGAGTTGCAAGGGGAGTTTGAGGGGCAAGGATGGGGATTTTGGGGGGTAACGATAGAAGCTGGTGAGGGAGCTTGAGGGGCAAGGATGGGAGCCAGAAAAGAGATTCAGGGGACACGGATGGAGGTGGAGGGGAAGTTTGGGGGGCAAGGATGGAAATTAGAGGAGGGCTTGGAGGTCAAGGATGGGGATTTTGAGGGGCAAGGACGGGGATTTTGAGGGGCAAGGTTAGGAGATGGAAAGGAGTTTGAAAGGCAAGGATAGGAGCTGGAGGGGGATTTTGAGGGTCAAGAATAGGAGCTGGAAGGGAGTTTTGGGGGACAAGAACAGGAGCTGGAAGTGAGTTTTGGGGGTCAAGAATGCAGGCTGGAAGGGGATTTTGAGGGTCAATAGGAGCTGGAAGGGAGTTTTGGAGGGCAAGAATGGAGTTGGAGGGAAAATTTGGGAGGGGGCAAGGATGGAGCTGGAAGGGAAATTTGTGAAGCACGTACAGAAGCTAGAGAAGGTTTAGGGTTAAGGATGGGAGCTGCAGGGAGCCTTGATGGCAGCAGACAGGGAGTCTCCCCCGAGCACCAGCAGCGCTCAGCCCCTGCCCAGCCCCGGCCCCGCAGCAATGTCTCGGTGCGGCCCCGGGATAAGTCGGGGAGCCCGGCTGGGACTAGCCCCGGCCCCGCACGGTCCCACCCCGCCGGCGGAGCTCCAGGGGCCGATCCGCACATGCTCCCTGCCTTGTTTTGCTGAGCCCGGCCCGGCCCGTCCCGCCCCGCCGGGGCCGCCCCCGGCCGCGCCGGCCGCTTAAAGCCGGGCTCAGCCGAGCCGAGCCGGGTTCAGCCGCATCGCGCCGGTCTGGGCTGAGCAGCGCCATGATTTTCGATCGCCTCAAACGCTTCTCCATCGTGCTGGAAGGCGCCGAGCGGGACGGCCCGGCCGCCTTCAGCCCCGGGCAGGCCGTGTCGGGCCGCGTGGTGCTGGAGCTGGCGGCGGCCGCGCGGCTCGGGGCGCTGCGCCTCAGGGCCATGGGCGCTGCCCGCGTCCACTGGACCGAGTCCCGCAGCGCCGGCTCCAGCACCGCCTACACGCAGAGCTACAGCGACCAGGTGGAGTTTCTGAGCCACCGAGACACGCTGATGGCACCGCCAGGTACGGCAGACCCTGACCCGGGGGGAGCTCCGGGTGCGGAGCCCCTCTGGCGGGTGAGGGCAGCGGGCACCGCAGGGGCTGGGACAGCGCGGCTGTGGGGCAGCCTCGGCTGGTGAGGGCTCCAGACACCCCAGCCGGCACAAATCGGGGTGCATGGCACCCCAAAACTGCAGGGATCTGGGTGCAGGGGCCAGCCTGGCTGCTGAGGGCTCCAGACGTTTTAGCAGACTGAAATCGGGGTGCATAGCACCCCAAAACTGCAGGGATCTGGATGTGGGGCAGCGTGGGTTGCTGAGGGCTCCAGATACCCCAGCCTGCACAAATCGGGGTGTATGGCACCCCAAAACTGCAGGGGACAGCCTGGGCTGCTGAGGGCTCCAGACACTCCAGCCGGATGAAATCGGGGAGCATGGCATGCCAAAACTGCAGGGATTTGGGTGCCTGGGTTGCTGAGGGCTTCAGACACCCCAGCCGGCTGAAATTGGGGTTCATGGCACCCCAGAACTGCAGGGATTTGGATGCAGGGGACAGCTTATTTGCTGAGGGCTCCAGACACCTGAAATCGGGGTGCATGGCACCCCAAAACTGCAGGGATTTGGGTTTCAGCCTGGCTGCTGAGGGCATGACACACAGACAAGCTGAAATTTGGGTGCCTTAGGGTCTGAGCGCTCTGTGGAGGTCCCTGCAGACACTTCACGTTCTGGTGCACCCCGTAATCTTGGGGTGCACAGCTGGATGATGATGCTGCTGTGCAGGGCACCTTGGCTGGGGACAGTACTCCTTTTCTCTGATCTGTTTATGGCAGGGAAGCGATGTTGGGAAAGTGTGGAGGTTCAGGAGCTTGTTTTGAGCAGCCTTAATGAGCCCTTCAGCCCTGGGGTGCAAATTCTTGAGGGGCATGGGGGCTTGGCTCCCTCCAGCTAGGCATCTTGGTCTCTCACTCCAAAGCTGTGGGGTGAGGTGGCTGAAGGTGAGGGTGAAGGCCGTGGGGTGAGGGTGAAGCACAGCCCACCTGGGGAAGCTGCCCAGCTCTCCAAGGAGGTGCCCCTGGGCCGTGCCCGTCTGCAGACGCACGGAATGCAGACAGTGCCCAGCTCTTGTGTCACAGCTGCTGCGGCTCAGCCCTGGCAGAAACTCTGCTGTGCCCTCGTGCTGCTCCTTGCTGGGTGCTGCACACCTCTGTGACCTGCCTGGGGAGGAGGTTCTGGAGGAGGGAGCTAATCCTCCACAATCTGTTTTGCCCACAGACAATGGTGAGGCCACTGTGCTGCAGGCAGGAAAGCACGAGTTCCCCTTCACCTTCCAGCTCCCCGAGTAAGTTGGCATTTTTGGGGGGAGAGGTCATCTTGAAAATGTGATTTTTTTGAGCAAAACCTTTCTAAAACTTTTTGTTGCTCATGCCCAGAACCCTGGCCACCTCCTTTGAGGGGAAGCACGGCAGTGTGCGCTACTGGGTGAAGGCCAAGCTGCACAGACCCTGGTCAACAGTGAAGAAAGCAAAGAAGGAGTTCACTGTGATTGAACCCATCGACATAAACACCCCTGCACTGCTGGTGAGCTCCCCCTTCTCCACCCCAGAACTCTGACATCCAAAATTTACCCAAAGAGCCCACAGGGAAGGTGTCTGCCTCCCCTTCAGCATCACAATGCAGGCCTGATTTGCTGAGGGAATGTTTCCCCCCTGTAACTTGTGCCCTCCAGCCTTACCTGGGCTGGGCAGAGGTCAGCTGTGCCTCTTTGGTTTTGGAAACTTTAATACATTGCAACAGCTTCTTGCATCAGATACCTGAGAAGTTGCTGATGCTCCCCAGCAGGTTCTTGGTGCCAGGGAGGTGATTGCTGCGAGTTTCATCCTTAGTTACTAAATAGCCAAAATATTTCCCTTTCTCCAGGCTCCCCAGGCAGGTGCTAAGGAGAAACTTGCTCGTGCCTGGTACTGCAACCGTGGCCAAGTGTCTGTGACTGCCAAGATTGACCGAAAAGGCTACACCCCAGGTGAGACCAGGTGCTGGGGCCCTTGAGGAGGGGGTTTGGGTCACTGGGAGCTGCCAGGAAATCAGAGAGCTTTAGTGTGGGCAGCATCCTTGGATGAACCCACGTGCCTGCTCTATCAGACAGCATGGCCAACCCTCAGTTGGGGGTTGTGCAGCAGTTCTTGAGGCAGAACTGGGCTCTGCCTCCCCTCCTCCAACAAATGTGTGTCTGTTTTGGCAGGTGAGGTCATCCCCATCTTTGCTGAGATTGACAACTGCACCAGCCGGGCCGTGGTGCCCAAGGCCGCCATCATCCAGACCCAGACCTTCATCGCCCGGGGCACCAAGAAGCAGAAGAAGTCAGTGGTGACCAGCATCACTGGGGACCCCATTCCAGCTGGGAAGAGGGAGGTGTGGCACGGCCGGGCGCTGAAGATCCCGCCCGTGGGGCCGTCCATCCTCCAGTGCCGCATCATCCAGGTGGAATATTCCCTGAAGGTGAGGGAGCTCTGCAGGGATCCCTTTGTGCCCTTCCAGATTGGGAAAACACCACCAGGCTGAGCTTCCCTGCTCTTCCCTATCTCCAGACTGGGAAAACACCACCAAGCTGAGCTTCCCTGCCCTTCCCTGTCTTGGCAGGTTTGTGTGGATATTCCTGGGACGTCCAAGCTGCTCCTTGAGCTGCCTCTGGTCATTGGGACCATCCCCCTCCATCCCTTTGGGAGCCGCACCTCCAGTGTCAGCAGCCAGTACAGCGTCAACCTGGACTGGCTCAGCACCATCCCAGAGCAGCTGGAGGGTGAGCATCTCCTTCTCCCTGGTCAGGAGAGTGAGACACAAAGTTCTCAACTAGGCCAGTGTGGCTTTTTTCTAACCTAATTTTTGGGTGTGGTGCTCGATTTCCTGGGTTCCTTCCTCAGGGAACTGAGAGGGTTTGGGGAGTAGTGGGTTTGAAGCCCTTTTACCTGCATGTCCCCTATTTATGGAGAGTGTTTGCTATTCCCTGATGGCTCTCCTTTCTCTGCAGCCCCCCCTGAGTACTCAGCAGTGGTGTCCAGCCCCGAGGCCGAGCAGAGCCTGGCTCCCCCGTGCCGCAGCGAGCTCGGGGACATCCTGGAGGGTCCCTTCTTCGCCTACATCCAGGAATTCCGCTTCCGACCACCCCCGCTCTACTCAGAGGTGATTCATCCCTCTGGGCTGGGAGGCTGCTGCAGCCTGGCATGTGCCACTGCTCGGGGTTTTGACTGTGGCCTTGGCTCTGCAGGTGGATCCCAACCCGGCGTCAGACGGCATCCGCCCGCGCTGCATGACCTGCTGAGAGGAGCGCTCTGGCTGCGTGCGGCAGCGTGACGATCCCTGGGGATGGCAGCTTGCAGCCTCACAGCACTGGGGTCTGGGAACGGGCACGTGCCACCCCGACCCTGCTCACAGCTCTCGGCCACTCCTGTCGTCACTGTCCCCAGGCCCAGAGCCAGCGCGGGGCAGTGGCCCCGGCACGGGTAGGAGAACACGAGGAGCCGGGTGGGACACGCAGGGTGCAGAAGTGCCCTGGGATTTTGGGGTTGGAACAGGGAATTCAAGCCCAGATTGCTCTCCCCTTGCCTGCAGTGCCGTGCTCTGAAAACTTCTGTCAGCTCCTGGTGTGCAGAGCAGGAGCTTGGAGGTGTTTCTCAGGATTACTGGAGAGTGTTTGTTTGGATGGTGCTCAGGGCTGGGCCCTGGGGTGATGCAGGTGCTGCCCTTTGCCTGTGGCTCGCCAGGACTGCAGGTCCCCAAGGCAGTGAAAGGTCCTTTCCTGACTGGATGAAATAGAGGGCTCAGCCACTGCTGATAATCTTTGCCACAAGCCTGTGCGCACCTGTGGGGTGAATGGTTTGAGCCACTTAACCAAACTCTGAAGGCCTCCAAGGGCTGATACAAGGACTTGGGGGATGAATTTAAGATCTGTAGCAGTGTTTTGGTGCTGTTTGCTAAGAACAGGAAAGCTGGTTTGTGAGTGTCAGCACCAAACCTGCAGAGTGTGCTGGTGCCTCCCCCAAGATGGGGCTGAAACCAACCCTCAAACTGTGGTACCAGCACAGGGGGCCGGAGCTGTGCCTGGTGGCCAAGGAAGAGAGAGGGAAGCCCGGTGTAAGGCTGGTGGCAGCCACAGGTGCTGATGGAAAGTGTGGAGTTGGTGTGAATCCTTCAGGGCTGGGAGTCCTTGAGGTGTCAGAGGCCCACAGCAGCAGCCTGTGCTCACTGGGTGGGAACCAGTATGGGAAGGGTGAGCTGGGTGTTGTGGTCAGGAGGCAGGGGCTGACCCTGCTCACTGCAGGAGGACCTGAGCAGAGTTTGGGGGCTGAGGACCTTTGCATTCCCTCACTGAGACAATCCCTGGCCGTGCACAAACCGATGCCAGCGTGCCTTGGGCTCTGTGCTGGGGTTGCTCAGATGAGTCTTTTCTATCTGTGAACACTTTTGTAATGACCACTCTTTGTCTCTACTCTTTTTGTACGACTTTTTGGTGGGGAATTTTTTGTCTGAAATAAATTCTTTAAACCAAAACTGTTGCCTGGATAGTTTTCTGTTCTTCCTGTTGTCTGGAGCCATGCTGTGGCTGTTGGGATTTGGAAGTCCATCTCTACCCTGTGCTCAGTCCTGCACTGGGATTAACTGGTCACTCAGCCAGCACTGCTCCCTGTGTGTTTGGTCCCTTGAACCTCCAGCTCCTCCACATCTGGGCAGTTTGGGCACTTTTCCCCTTACCTGGGATGCAGGGTTATGAGCAAACCTGTTGTATTTTTCCACACTTGCTTCCTGTTTATGTCCAGGCTCTGGGAGGACAGACACATTCTCCTCCTTCCTGGAATCCTGGCAGGGACCCAGCAGGTCCAGCTGGGAGCTGGGACACTCCTGCATTGGCTCAGCCAGTCCCAAGGAGGGCTGGGATCAGCCCCATGCTGTGCTGCCTGGGAGGATCAGGGAAGGCTCCTTCACCTGCTTCCTTGGGCTGGAATTTGGTTTTTCACAGCATTTCTGTGCTCCACATCTCCACTGAGCATGGCAAATCTTGGTGCATGCAAGGCAGGGTTTGAATCAGGGCTTTAGTTTTGTCTTCCATGGATTGTGCTGCTTAAAAATGCTGCCACTGGAATGTGATTTTCCCCCCCACACTTTTATTTTTTTTTTATTTGCTGAGCTGCTCAGCCCCGCAGCTGCATCAGAGCACGTGCTCCTGCCCTGGGCCAGAGGAGAGAGCTTGTCCCTGTGTGTGTTTGCCTGTGAGAACCTGGTGCTCCTGCAACCTTTATTCAAATCTGCTTTTTATTTGGCATCCCTGGCGCTCTGATTAATTTTCCCTGGGGGAGGATTAACCAGCCTCGCAGGGAATTTGTTTGCATCCCCGTTTGGGGGGATCGTGTCTGGATCTGCCGCTGGCAGCAACAACAGCAGTGCCTGGTGTGCTGTGGCCTCTTGGGGCTTTTTTGGTGACATCAAAGGCGACACGAAGCACAGCACTCCGCCCCTCAGGTGAAGATGTCCCCGAAGGCAGCCCTGTGATCCCAGCCTGCCACAAGGGAGCCATTCTGTGCCATCAGGGGGCTGCTGGTCAGCCCTGCATCATCTGCCCCGGCTGCACAAGGGGCTGTTTATTCCCGGGGCCCGAGGGGGAGGCGAGTGCCCAGGCCCCCGTGCCTGTCCTGCCGAGTCTCTCTGTGAAATGAGTCACACGGTGACGGGGACAGGCCAGCAAGGCCGGTGGGCAGCGCTCCCGGTGCCCGTGTGGCAGCGATCTGTCCAGCTGGGATTCTTGTCAACGCCCCCAGGCTTTTCCGTACAGTCGGGCAGTAGCGCAGCGAGGTTGGGGGGCGATGGCCAAGCTGGGGCTCCTGCCAGGAAAGGGCTGCACTCATCCTGAATCCTCAATCCTGAACCCTGGAGGGGCTAAAAATACCTCGTCTGGACGCTTGGAGCCAGGGCACGGTGCGGACCCTTCCAGGCAGCGCTTTCACAACTGCTGGCAGCGCTGCAGCCTCCTGTTGTTTATCCGCCCCGGCTCCAAAGTCCTGATTGAGCAGCCCGGGCCGATCCAGGTTTATTGGCCCGGGGGGCTGGGGCTGCCCGGGGGGCTGCGGAGCCGGAACGGCCCCGCGGCAGCACCGGGACCGACCCCGGCCGGGAGGCGCGTGATGCAATTACAGTGCCGGGATTATTTATAGCTCTTGGCCCCGTGCGCTGGAAAATGCTGCCCGGACCGTCCGTCAGAACCTGCTCCTTGCGAGGGGCACGGAAACCACCCCCTGCTCCTCTAGCCTGTCAGTTTTGCTTTTCAGCCCCAAAATTCCGGGGAACTGAAATCCCAAAATTCCCCCGCAGAGCTGCTGGGAACCCCCTCCCCAGAGCAGCTCACGGCTCTGCAGGGACACCCCGATCCTGCAGCCCCTTTCTGCAGCATTTTGAGGCTCCCCTTTCCCCCAGCCCCCGGAGGATGCTCGGTGCCATCACGGTGGCCCAGCCGAGGCTGCTGTCCGGTGACCGGGGGTCGGTGGCGGGGGGACAGTGACACGCCAAGCCTGTGGCCGTCCCGGCGCTGCCAGGGACAGAATGTGCCGGGGCTGGCTCAGCCCTGCGAGGGCCGGGATTAACTGAGCCGCTGCTGCCTCCGGCCCGGGCTCCCGTCCAGCTCTCAAAACAAGCACCGCCTTCCCCCATCGCAGCTGGGCCGAGCCCTGCGGGGTGCAGCTCACCCCAGAACTGCCCAGGGGCACCCACCGGGGGCTCATCTGTTTGTTTGCACGGGGATGATAAATCCACGTTTTGGCTGGAGTGGAATGGCCATGCACTGGGGTCGGGGTTCAGGCGCTGCCCAAATTCAGCATCAGGGATGCTGGGTGGGCAGCAGGAGGCTCAGGAGCGTATGGGGCATATGGGACCTGCCCAGCCCGGGTTACGGGGGACTCCAGCAGCACCAGGCCTTGCTGTGGGTTGGCTCCAGGGCTGAGCCTTGCCCTGGCAGCATTTTTGGGGTCGGGGCTCTGAGGTTCCCCCTTGTGCGGCACAGCTCTGCCAGGGCTCCGGGAAGCAGCCGCGCACCCCGACATGCCGGGGCGGCACCGCTCTGCCCTCCGCCCGCTGACTCAGCCGCTGTTTGCCGGAGCTGCTCCCGCCCACGGAAACCGCAGGCAAAGTCCCCGCATCCCAGCACCACCGGGGCCTTCCCCGCCGGCTCGACAGGAATCGCAGCTTTTCCCCAGCCTGGTGCGGGCAGAGAGCCCCTCTGGCTGCGGGGAAATGCTGCAGAGAAACCGCAGGATTTTTTTTTTTTTTTAAATTCCAAACCGGTTTTTTAATGGCAAAAAACGGGGTTTGGAGTGGCCGGGTGGCCGTGTTGCACGTGCCACATGTCCCCTGTGAGCATGGTGCCAGCAGCATGGTGACATCACCGGGACACGCCACAAACCCCGATGATGACCGGTGTTGTCTTTGCAGCGAACCGCCACTTTTATTCACTATATCAAAACCAACCCTTTGGTTTTTTTAGCGTCTGACCCCTCATTTGGGGTCCCCCGCTGTTGGCACTGCCCGGCCCCTTTGCACAGTCACTCTTCACTCCCTCCCTTCCTCAGGCAATGGAAAATTTTTGTGACTTTTTGACTTTCCTCCAGTTGTTTGGGAGCGAGGAAGGGGCCGGTGCCGCGCACAAACATGTCTATGTATAAACACTGAGACCGTGCCAGGGCCGGAGCCGCCGGCACCGGACCCTCCCCACGGAGCCGGGTGTCCCCTCTCCTGCCGGGACCCCAGACTGGCGTTCCATGCTCGGTGACCCAGAGCCGTCCCCTTGGGGACGCAAATATTTTGGCTTTGTTAAAAAAAACAACAATAACAACGCTTAAAGAAAATAAATCTTCCCCTCCGGGGTCATCCAGCGGCGGCACGTGATGTGTTGGCACACAAACAGCGAGCTTGGGGACGGGGCACGGCTCCCACGCCACGCGTGAGTGGCACGGCCGTGCCCTGTGCCAGGGATGTGGCACCATGGACTTTGCTCCCAGCGCTGCTCCACACCCGGCTGGGGCTGCCAGCACTGCCAGGAGCCGCTGCACAAACCACAGAGGAGTCACTGTGCAGCCACGGGTGGGCTGGCATGGACAGGAGGACGTGGCATGGTGACATCCCCCACCGTGTCCGATGTGGGACAGTGACATTTCCCTTCATGGCCTGGGGAAAGTGGCACGGTGACATCCTGTGCCATGCCCAGGGCTATGTGGCACGGTGACACCCCCCAGCATGCCCAGGATGTGGCACAGTGACATCTCCTGCCATGCCCAGGGGGACGTGGCACTGTGCCATCTCCCACCATGCCCAGAGGGATGTGGCACGGTCGGTGACATCCCTCACCATGCCCAGGGGTATATGGCATGGTGACATTCCCCACCATTGCCCACAGTGACATCCCCCGCCATGCCAAGGATGTGGCATGGCGACATCCCCAGCCGTGCCCATGGTGACAATTGCCATGCCATGCCCATGGGGATATGGCACTGTGACATTCCCCGCCGTGCCCAGAGGGGATGTGGCACGGTGACACCCCACACTGTGTCCGATGTGACACTGTGACATCTCCCGTTGTGTCCAGGGGGATGTGGCACTGTGACATTCCCCGCTGTACCCAGGGGGATGTGGCACAGTGACACTCCACGCCCTGACCCCTCAGACAAAACCCTGTTCGTGTGGCACCAGGGGCACCACAGTCACTGCTCTGTGTGTCGGTGGGGACACAGCTGTCCCCAGCTGAGAGGCCGGGAGTGCGTGGCTGTCACCCTCACTGTCCCTGTCA